GCCGCTTGGAAGACCCCTAGATGGATCTCAAGCTGGCCGTTTTTCCGAATTGCCTCGGAATAGCGATCCTCGGTCGCCCTCCATTCTCGGAAGAAGCACCGGGCATCATCGCCGTTATACGAGTTGTAAGAATCCGACGACGAAGCCAGCGCGGAAGATGAAGCGTCAGAGGGCTTGCTGGCCCTGGGGAGGGAACGAAGGCTGTCATTCACGATGAACCTATAGACGAGTCAGAAAAGATCATCATCATGAACAGAGGATATCAATCTTACCTTATGCGTCGAAGGTGCTGGTTCATCGGCATGTTCTCCTCCGAGACCTCATCCGCCGTGCGCTTGCCGCGGTTCTCCTCGCTGGCCATAAAGTTGATTGAATCTACAGGAAGAGAGAAAGACCACTATAGAGTTATGCGAGGGTGGAGAAAAGCAAAGAAACAGGAACGGTTGCAAGTGCAGATGTGTTCAAGGCCAGAGCCCTCGGCCGGTATTTGAAGCCACGGGACGAAGGGGTGGACGCCTCGGGTCGTGCAAAAGGCAACCGCAAATAATAGGAGGTGAAGCATCACCTCGCTAATACTAAAGAGAGTACGATGCCAGATGACTAAGGATAGAAGATCGAAGGGCTCTCTTAATAAAGGCCATATTTTTAGACCTAAATAGGATTAAGACCGGGAGTCTGGAATCGACTATTTTCAAAATCGGCTCTTTAGCCGAAACAAAGGTGATCAATCGACTATGATAGCTCTTTAGCCTCTTGCCTGTTCGAGTTCCCCTTGGCCAAAAGAGTTTCATGATCAAAGAGATTCCTCTGAGCCTGTTTTACCTTCAGGACCTGATCTTCAAAAATGGAAAAGGGAGACAAGACTCTAGAGAGGACTGGGGATGGATTACCCTTGATGGCCAAGAGCAAAAGAGCTGATATGGTCGCCTTATGAACTTGTGTATAGCCATAATGCAGTCCCTCCTTGGGAAGTTCAAACTGGATCGAGGCGTGTTATGTTGCAGAATGATTTGTCAGCCGAAGTCTACAAGGATTTTGCGATAGATGACTTAGAGGATTTGAGTTGCCTTCGGTTGTGTGTTCTTGAAAATATTGAAGCCAATAAACTAAGGGCTGTAAAATATTACAATAAAAGAGTCAAGAATAAACAATTTTCTAAAGGAGATTTGGTCTGGAAAGTAAACTTGTCGATCGGGTCAAAGGACAACAAGTTCAGCAAATGGTCACCTAATTGGGAAGGATCTTATCGGATCAAACGTTGTGCGCTTGGTAATGCTTATATTTTGCAAACACTAGGACAGCTCTGCGAGCGTGGAGAGAAGACCCATGCGATATCACAAGGATTCTTCTAACCACAATAGTTGATTCTCTTGCTCGACAAGGTGCTAAGATGAGGGACACAATCACCCTATGCACAATAATTCTTCTAACCGCTCAAGATCTTCATAGCAAAAAGATAGACCATGGAGGGTCCAGCGGAGTCAGAAGCACTCGAGGGGGCAGATAGAAGAGAGACATGGCTGAATTGTTGAGTTGCTCTCGCTAGGGTCGGATAGACATTTTATAACCGGCCTGAAAAGATGGATCCAAATGCCCTTGAAGCAATGATGCTCTCATAAAAGTTTTGAAGCATGGGCTCATGAGCTGACATAGACGGCGACAAACAGTAGACCCCAGATCAAGATTCTTTACCTGTAACTGTGGACCTATCGGGGGTACAGACGTGATAATTTTGGGATAAAATTACTTTTATCCCAAAATTAGGGGGGCATATGTTTACACCAAAATTTGAAAGAAGAGTCACAGGGACTCGAAAGCTGCCAAGATCATGTCATCAAAGAATCAATTGCGTACAGATCATAACCAACTGATTCGAATGCAACACTGGAATCGGTTTTCTTCAGGTAGCGCCAGCGGATAACGACAAATGCTACGATCGGTGCCGGGACGAAGCATGTTGGACTCTACAAAAAGGGGAAAGATAGAGTCCAAGTTATCTTAAATTAGGAATGTTTTCTCTTAGGACCAAAGATTGTGATGAGTTGTGCTTAGATAGGAGTCATGCGTAGGTCCCAGGTATAAATATCAAACCCTGAATATTATAAAAAACACACAATCAATCCAATACAAGTTATTTACTTTTTTCGGCTCCGGCCACCCCTTAGAAGTAGGAGTAGAGTAGATCTCGACGAGTTCTTCAGCAAGTACGGCTGCATCGATCCGGTCGACCTTCACTACTTGTCTGTAAGTTCCGTCATGGCTTATACTTCTGTTCGTACGGCTACATCGATCCGGTCGACCTCCACTGTGACTCTGGTATAAGCTAGTTATCGACTCTTGTCTAGTTCAAGTACGGCTGTATCAATCCGGTTGACCTCCACTGCTCGAACTAGATTAAGATCAAGTTATCGGCTCTATCTAAGGGTGGTGTTCCTTCGGATAGATTCATTAAGTTACCTATATTGCTTATTGCTTTCATTATTTATTTAATTACAGCAATATCACTTCGTCCGATTGGGATTGATCTAGATCGGCCTTATATCTTGTTTAACCCATCGTTTGTTAATCTAAACTGATCTGATCTGCACTTTAAACGATGAGTTATGTTTTATCGGTTGTTTTTCATCAATCTTGATCATGCATAGCGTGCGGTTAAGGCATGTCTGATCTTGAGTGGATCTATTGGCTAGCGAAAACCGTTTTATGGCCCGTTATCACGGCATGTGTGATTCTGCCTCACACCCCACTGTTAGCACCGTGGAGTGGGGATCGTTATTTGATAGATCTGTTCCTGATAGGGCATGACCTTAACTATACGCTATGCCTGAATCGACTATTTTAGCCGATATCGAGCGCTTTCACAGTTCACGTCACGAGATCGTTGAGGTAAAGATAGGTTGAAAGATGTGTTAGCTCCATAATCTTATTATTGTATTACGGCCTGCATGATTCCGCCTCATGCCCCACTGGTATTAGTTATAAGTTAGAGTCGTCGAGTCTATTGTTGTTTCTACGGCCTGCATGATTCTGCCTCATGCCCCACTGGTCATAGCGATAGATGAGATCTAATATGTTCATTAGATTTATCTTTATTAAATGATTGAATGATGATGAGCTGTTTCTTTCATAAAAAGGGGTTCGGTTACTTGTAGTCATTAGCTTAGCATAAATTAATCATTGTTGATATCCTTTTACCATTGACTAATGTTGGTATAAATAATGAGATCCATCCTGAACGATAACCGATTCTTCTTACACAACCTCATGAGGTTTAACTGATTTATTCTTATGAATATGCTGGAATCGACTATTTAGTCGATCTCCTTTCATATCGGCTCTCAGAGCCGCACATTTAGGACTGTCTGGCAACACCGGCACGTTCCGCCTTAACTTACTGATTAGCTTTCTCTCCTTATCAATTGCAGGGTCAAATTGACTGGCACGTCTCGGGGGGAGTGCACAAGATCGACCATCCCTGCGCTGAAGCTAGGCGGATCTCTAGCTCCATCGAGCGGACCATTCCGGCTTGCTCGTATGCCCTCGGCACGGTACAAAAATTCCGTGTCGACAGAAAGAAAGAATCCAAATCCAATATATGTTTTGGCAGTTGGATTCAAATTGCAGAACAACCCCAACTTGGGACGGTCATCATGACTTCACATGGACTCCAATGAAACGTTCTAGCGCTAAATGGAAAGTTTATGAAGTCTACTTTCCAATGAATCTGGACTCCTGCCTATATCTCAGTAGAGTCAGACACAATTGTCATTTTAATGTCGATATCGTTTTGGCCTACAGTGCTCAGGGATTAATATTTTCTCATGCAAGCTAAGTTGCTAACTGATGTAAGCTAATAAACAAATAAGCAAGCTAATACACCATGAAGGATACAGATTAGCCCATAGAGCAGCCTTGACAGCTGGAGTAGGTCCAATGTGGTTAGCACAGAGAGACAGTTATACTAGAACTGGTAGAGATCCCTGAAAGAATTGAGACTAGACGATTTACTCATGGATTTGTCAGGCTTGTGACTCTAAAAACAGTGAGATGCATTATCAAGGGTTAATATTTGGTCATATGTTTGTGCTGCATCAATGGTCAGTGCGATCATCATGTTTGACGTCACCTCAAGGCTCACCTACAAGAATGTTCCCACCTGGCACAGGGACATCAGCTGGTAAAAATTATTTTTGTCTTTTGAATTGCGCACAAGCCTCTTGTTTTGGTGTCCTGAATTGATGGTACATCTTTTATTGTGCATATTAGGGTGTGTGAGAACATCCTGGTTGTCCTGTGCGGCAGCAAGGTGAATGTGAAGAACCGGCAGGTGAAAGCCAATAGCATGTTCGGCAGGCTGTGACTGCCTGTATCTGGCTTGGAGCCAACAGTGTTTTACTCTTACACTAAACCAGCCAGCAGTATTTCAGCCATGGGGTTATAAGCCAATCCAGCCGAAACGAACAGGCTAAGTCGGTGACTTTGTTGGTATATTATGGTCTAGGCCCATATAATATATGAACTTTTTTACTATGGTTGAGGAGGCATCAGGAAGCGTTAGACGTGTCTATGACTGGTGGACCCATACGAGGGAAGACGTTGGGAGGCATCAATGAGAGAGGCGTCGGGAGGCATTATATGTGTCTATGATCGGTGGGCCCATATACGCCGTAACGCCTCTCAATGCCTCCAATGTTAAGGGGATTATGACTCCAAATAAAAGAGTGGTAATTCTATTTTCGTAGTTCTTTTATTTAATCAAGGGGAAAGAGATAAATTCATAATTATAAAATTAATGTTTTGGGTAGTACAGTTAGAGTGTATGATTCAAGTAATATAGTTAAATAAATATTTTGGTGAGTAGTATAGTTTGGATGAATAAAAGTAGTATAGTTAGATAAACATAACATTTTATTTTTAGGGTTCATCCACGCCGCCGCCTCCGCCTCCGCCTCCGCCGGCGCTCCCGACCTCGCGCTAGGACATCCAGGCCGCCGAGCTGCATGGCCCGCTCGGACGGCCTCCTCCGGGCGGCTACCGGATCGGGTAGGCGCGGCGCGGTTTGCTCGGTCGCGCGCGGGGCGCGCGGACGCGGGCTAAGTCGAGCGGTGGGGAGCGCGGTCACCCGGCCGGCTCGGAAGACTGGCCAGAGCGGAGGGGAGGGACAGAGGAGAGGGATGGAGCTGACAGGTGGGGCTGCTGCGGCAGTGAGGTCCAATCGACGACCCGCGGATCCTACCAGAGCGGAGGGAGAGACAGCAGGGAGCACTACTCCAGCACTCCGCCCCCATGCGGCTCGCCGGCGCTACTCCAGCACCCGACGCTGGAGTCGAGCCAGCTGCGCCCCGCAGTTCTCGTCCGGCCGTGCGGCACGGATAAGCATGAGCCTCCGCGTGGGCATCGTCGGGCTGCCCAACATTGGCAAGTCCACCCTCTTCAACGCTATTGTGAGTAACTAAGCTTGCTTGTTTCGTTGCTTCCTGTTCTTGGGTGGATGTCGGTGGACCCCTGCTGTTCGACGTTTTGCCACAGACATTCTTGTGGAACGGCTGACACTGTAGGTCTGTATAATTTGTAAGAGTCAAGATCTTTTCTGTTGTTCCGCTGCTGCACAAGTTTCCCTCTAGACTTGTTGCCGTAAAATGTTTCAAATGGAGAAATGTATGTGATATACATAGGACAGGTTCTTCCCATGTATATAATCTGTTCTCAGTTTTGTTGTATGCATCTAAACTACAAGAACCTTTGAAGAAATTTCTGTGACATGTTGAACTAAATAATTGTAACAAAAATGTTGAACTCTTTCTACTCTAAAAATTCAATGAATCAACATACTTTGAATTATGGGAAAATTGGCTACAGGATAATGAAAGTGGCCTCTCTTTGTGTATCCACTATGTGGTTCCTGCTATAGAATTATTCCCTCCAAGGGCTACCATTGAATCGCCCTGCGCGTCGCACTCGTTTATTCAAAGATTCGGTGCTCTCCAAAGTGACAACAGGAGTTTGGACATTCCTTCGCGGTCGTCCTCTTTTCTTACTTTCAGCTCCCGATGCTATATTTTCTCCCTAATAAGCACGAAAAACACCAATTGAGATCTTATATATTCTTCCTAATATTTCACTCAAGTAAGGTATATTTCAGAATGATGCTCATCATTTGATTTCGGATGGTAGAGCAGTTGGTTCAATATTTATAATGGCTCTGAGTCAGAATTTTGTTACAGATGGTGCTTCTAGAAAACACCTTCCGAGTATGTTTACAAAAAACTGAGAAGCCGATATATGTATAGTTGATGGAATCAGTGGGCATCCTACTTTCATCCTTCACATAGTACCCACTACTCAGGTTTCTTCTTGGCACTAAAAAACCATTGTTTTACACTAACCACTTCCTGGTAGAACAAACTGTTAATTTGAATTGTTGGAATGCATTTGTTCATTCATAATTGTAGGTTGTTTCGTGCCAAACTACTGATGATGTGCAGAGGTTCGTGAGGCAGATTGTGCCGCAGCACTTCTCTGGAAAATCCCATGGGCAAACACCAGAGTACATGATGTTTGGAGCGACCTGGGAAAAGACTTAGTATTTGGTGAGGGCCACGGGCTTGTCCCAAGAACACGTGAATGTTCAGCATGTATAGGCCATAGGTGTTTTCTGTGAAGGTCTTCTGAAAAATTCAGGTAACAGTTGGATCTCTTGTCATCGCTGGTTTCTGCTCCTTTTTTTTATTGCTTGTCTAGTTAATGCATGATCATAAAGTTGTGCTATCTGTTTCTGTAGTTATCAATCAGTTGAGTTCCTTCTCTTTGCTTTCTGGTTGGTTAGCTAGCCAATGTCTTTCTGGTTGGTTATCAATTAGTTGAGTCCCAACCAAGTTGGGGTAGGCTAAAACTTTATATTTCAAGTGACTCGAGGCAAGTACACCTTACAGAACAAGAGTTAATGTGAGCAACTATTATGGAACTGGAAGGATTTGGTTATATGAGATAGCTGTGTAGTTGGTGCTATAAAAGTACTTTGCAACATTCACTGAAACCTTGTAGTGTGGTCTGCTTATTTCTTCTTTATGGTGGTTAATTCCGTTAATATTCAGACATTTAGATTATTTTGGCTTTTAATGGATGCAGGTGTTCCTTGTGTATTTGGTGTTCTAACCTGTGAAGACATGGATCAGGTAATTCATGATTTGGTTATGTACATGTACATCTTATCAATTGTTACTGGCCACCAGATCATGTTTGGTAACCCAAAGCAGGGCTAGTTCTTCATTGTTAGTGGATATGTGGCCCACATCCTATACATGTGGAAACCAATCAGTTCCTGAGGACTCTGTTCAAAGTTTTGTTCGAAAAATCAATTGTTGTTTGAGCTGTGTTATGTTCATTTTATGTCAAGAGTCAAGTGTTTGTTGCTGGACAAAATGCTATTGTTCAAGTTCCCAAGCCATTTATCTTATTTTGAGTAGTGCCAACCATTTCTGCATGACCTGTAAAGTAGTGACATCTTTAATCCAGATTGGCCACATTAGCAAAGCAGAGGTTTCACTCAAGTATTCCCTTCTGATGAGAAAGTTTCTTGTCAATAGTGTGACCCTTTTTTGTTGATTATCTGACTACTTTTCAAAACATGTGCACTGTTTTGCTCCTTATCAAAATCCTGCTGAGAATGCTAAATCAAATGCTGCAAGCGCTCAATCGTGCTGGTGGCAAGGCAGGAGACAAGGGTGCTGAAACTGCTCTTACTGCCGTAAGTAAACCTTCCGTCGGCAATCTTAATTTCAAATAAACATAGATGTACTATCAGTTGACAAGCTCAAGTTCCCTGCAGATTGAGATGGCCTCTCTGTTCCGGCATCACTTAGGTTGACACTTTGTGTATTTTGATTTCTATACACGAGGCGACAGCATTTCTTCCTATCAAGAGTTTTGGCTAATAGAGCTTTTCCGCGGCTAGTATAATTATTTCCAAATCTGTTGGTCCGGTGCTGATTGGTTGCTTTCTTTCTTTGAAATTTGAAAGCTCACGAGACATGTTTGTAAACCTGACACCGTGAATAATTGTCGCCAATAATGAAATACGGTTATGAATAAAGTTGCACAAGTTGCACCAGTGTTTGTTATTATGGATGAGAGCATGAGAGTTTTGGGGTGAGGTCTACCATGGTTTTTTTTGGTGAGGTCACCTGTGAGAACTGGAAAGAAACACAGTCGGGCCCCACTCGCTGCTCCAGCAGAACTCTCCCTAGGCGGGCATGCACATTATGCTCCAACAGATGCGCTCGTGAATTCGTGATGGCTTTGCGTCCGGCGTTCACTGGATTTGCATGATTTCAATTTGCATCCCAGAGGGCAACTCAAATGGCATTGGAGTTTTTGTGAACGTGGACATGCATGCTGCTTGCTGCGCCAGTATGGGACTACAATGCAAGCGCAAACCGGAATTTTCTACCTTCCGATCTTATACTGACTATAAAATTAGCCACAAATGCCAAATCTTATTGCATATCATGTAGAGGAATCGTAAGTCTTGAAATAGCTGGAGAACTAATGCAAAGCCTATTGGCCTCTCCTGTAAGTGCTAATGCCTGGTAAAGATCTAGTCTAGTACTATCCATCAAGCTAAAACCAGGACATAGCCGACTATGTTTATGGCGATACCCGAACATTGGTGTCGACAATCTTCATCACCAGACAGTAATGACGGACTGCACGCCCGAAATTGTTTCCAAAGCGTGTTACAGATCTCAACTGGTGGTGTCGTCTTCTCGAACTCGCACTTCTGTATCTTCTTCCCATTCTTGTCAATGGTATCTGATTAAAAGCTAAGGACTTTCGCAATGCCATGACTTTTTGTTAATGTTCGCTGTTAGAGAAAGCTGATATGAAGTGCAAAAACTAAGCAGCATAACCTTTTACATTTAACATGAGTCATATTATTTTCTCTGAATAGGGAAAACCACAATAAACTGAAAGGATACAACTTGAGATCTTATCCTGGTCTTCCAAATTTGGGAAGATATTTGTAACTAACACACACATGCAAAGTTTATATCTGCATAAGAATAAGTGAGTGAGTTATTTTAACTCAGAAACAGGGTAAGCAATAGAGATAATACTGTTATAGCTCGATTCATGTTGAGCTAAGAGGCACAATTCAAAATTTGAACAAGTACTATTCTATTAATTTTGAGTAGTGTTATCCGCGGGAGGCTCGCCATGGACGTGCTCAAGTGCGACCTCCACACACAAATAGTTTAAGTTAGGGATTGGGTTCTCGGTTTTGCATAGCAGGAAGGGAAGAGAAGGGGCCTGTGAACCTGGTGCGTGCTCATCACCGACGAAGACCTGGGCATGGCTCCAACCTCCCCACGCAGCCCTAGGCTGGATCCAGGCCAGGCGGCCTCCTTCGCGTCGCCCTAGCCCGGATCGAGGCCAGGCAGCCTCCTCCGCGTCGCCCTAGGCCGGATGAGGACAGCTGTGGGGTCATCGCCCTTGCACACACACGAGGGAAGCCGTCGCTGCTACGGGCAGGGGTGAGGGCAGCCGCCGCCCCGCCATGGGCTCTAGACCTCTCTCTCTTGGGGCTCGATCTGGAGTGCGAGGCTAGGGTTTGACACACCAAGGAAGCCGCTGCTGCGCTCGATACGAGGATGGGGAGAATGGGGAAAGAGGCGCAGGAGGGGGTGCTGGTGTCTGCAGGAGGAGGATACGTTAGGGTTTCAGGAGGTTTTAATCTAAGTCTGGTATATCGCAGCCATCTATTCCATGATCCAACGGCTAAGAGAAAGAGGACTTGATTTGGGCTGAATCTGAGCATCATTTTGAGACCCAACATAGTCTGAAGTTTTTTCTTTTTAATTTGTATAATAAACTTTGAAAATAATTTTGGAACAGTAAATTATTTCAATTGAACAAGTCATGAACAACAAAGTTGTACAACTTATCGAGATCTACAACATTTGTTTTGTTCATTTCTCCATCTGACTTTGTTTGAACCATTTAAAATTTGAATTTCAAAATATTACAACCTCAAATAGAATTTTGGGATAGAAAATGATTTCAAATAGAAAAGTCAGCAACAACAAAGTTGTACAAATTATCGAGATCTACAACTTTTATTTTGGTCATTTCTCCATTCGACTTTGTTTGAACAATTTAAATTTCAAAATTTAAAATATAAGAACTTCAAACATAATTTTTGGATAACAAATGATTTCAAATAAAAAAGTCACAAACAACAAAGTTGTATAAATCATCAAGATCTACAACTTTTATTTTAGTCATTTCTCTATCCAACACCATTCAAACAAAGTGACAGTATACATGTTCATAATTGGATACATCTTCGTACTCTTTCCATATAACTATGTGAGAGATATATCAAATCATGAACGATGCCAACTGTCACTTTGTTAAAATCATTTGAGTTTTTATGTAACGATTAAGTAACAAAAACATGCAGCAATGTAAATTTGTATAACAAAGATTGCAACAAATTTTAAAACAAACATAATCATATTGAAGTGCATTATCTCACCATATTATAAACGTTTCTAATACTACAAAAGTCTTCATAGCTTAGTGCTCTGTGGCTTTTTTAAAAAAAAAAAATTCTAACTCAGAACCCTGAGGTCTCAAGTTCGAGCGCCCCCAGGCATCTCTGTGGCTTTTTTTTTTAAAAAAAATTCTAACTCAGAACCCTGAGGTCTCAAGTTCGAGCGCCCCCGGAGCATCTATGTGGCGTTTTTTTATTTTTATTTTCAACTTGAACCCTGAGGTCTCAAGTTTGAGCGCCCCTTTTTTTTTTTTTGAGAAAACCCCTCGGAGCACCTGTGTGGCGTTTTTTTTCCACTTCGAAGACTCGCCTGGGCCGGCATGCTGCGGTCATCTGTAGTAAAGATAGAGAATACCGTTTGTGCGCTGCAAATAGTATCATACGCTAATTCTTGTAATTGGCAACAATTCAAATGAAAGTTGTCTTTCAAAAATAAAGATAAATTGTCTTTCAAGAACATATCCGTCAATCTCAAGCCATCTCAAAATTCCTGTAATGCTCTGGTTTTATTGAATCTAACTAAATCGGGTTCCATGAGGGGAGTGAAAGTGATAACCACCCTCACGGTTAAAACAACAGGGATTGCAACCTGCATGAATGGCAAACATGATCAATGAGCTGATGCCACTGATCGTTTGTTGAGTCCCTCGACTCATCCCTCTTTCCCTGCTGCAGCAGTGGCATATATGCATTTACATGTTCTTCCAATCAAGATCCTTTCTTCTGCAGGGATTAGTGTGTTAACTCTACCAGCAAATCCACCATTTCAGCAAACACCACAGTAGTAGTGTTATTTACTTCCATTCAGCTTACTCAATCGGAGATGAAGCTTCAAAATAGATAAATAACACACTGCAATTTACAGCTTCAAGGCACAATACATTGTAATTTACAGCTTCAAGGCAAAGGTATGGTCTACTATTTCAGGAGAGAATCACTCCAGAAGATAGTCACTAAGTAGATCACCAATACAGGCTGCTCTATGAGACAAACAGCAACACCTCAAGCAAGGTAGCTGAGGAAACTAGATCAACAACCTCAGCAAGAACTTGAAAACCTCTGCAGTGAAGTGTAGAGAGGCAAATGAAACCCGGTGACAGATGATGGAGACCGACTGTGGCTTCACGGCGGCGAGCAAGTGATGGAGAACGATTAGTCGGGAGACGACAAAAGGACGCGCAGAGTCGTCTAGGACATGATTCACTGGTGACACACACATGATCACAGACTATTGCTACACTGATTTGCCATACCACCTATATTAGTTCTGAAATGAAAAAAAAAACAAGTCAAGTCGAAGCATGAATTCTATGAAAAACTGATAATGTTAAGTCGAAGCATGAATACTATAGAAATAAAGCACCACCAACTCAGACTTTTCAAATGTTAATTTAATTTAAAAAGATGAGAAATAATAAAAAGATGAGAAATAATAAAAAGATTAAAGTTAAAGATCGGATAGCAACAGTTTGCGATTTTGGTATGTTTACCTTCAGCATTGACACCTTATCTGAGGCCTGAGTTGCTGGAAGCAGAATGCCTGAAATACAAAAGGCACAACCAGGTTATTTCTGGTAAGAGTTTGTTAGAAAGCACAACTGTTTTTCAGTGAAACTACTCATGATAGAGAATATCGAATGCACGCAGACACATGATCGCAATCCAAACATTTCATTAGCTAGCTCAAGGTAAGAGCTATAGGAAACTGAACTCTGCCTTTCAGAACATTCCTAGTTAAAATAATTCATCAGTAAACTTTTTAGTAATAAGTATTTCCCTACAAATAGAGTGCTCGCTGCAGCTTTTCTAGGCTGCAGGTGTGGCTGCAAACAAACAACTAAAACCTACTGTAGCTAATACAAGAAGCTGGAATCCACTTAGTCATATATTAATGTAGTGACTGATCA